TGTGTGTGTGTGTGTGTGTGTGTGTGTGTGTGTGTGTGTGTTCGTGTGTGTTGGGGGATGCTAGTGATGTCTCTTTGACATCTGATCAATAAGTGGCTGAGACAGCAAGAGAGGCCAGGGATTACCGATCTAATTGGACTGAGAATAGGGAGGACTGGAACACACACACACACACACACACACACACACACACACTGGCGGTCTAGATGCATGCTCACACACAAGATAGATCTGTCAGACTGTGGCATTGTGGTCACAGAATGGCAAATATACAAAACACACTCATACGTGTACTCAGTCATGTCTGCATGGACACACACACCCACACCCACACACACACACACACACACATTTCTACGTCCTCCAACAGCTGTAGCACAATACATCTCCAAGTGTCCTGGTGACAAGAGACAGAAGACAGAAAGTGAGGATGATGATGGCAATGATGTGGAGAAGACGACAGGTAGAGAATGGCTGCTGTTGTCAGGCCAAAGAGCTGCTGTTTACTGTTTAACAGCTCATCTCACTCGTTGAGCAGCGAGGCAGGAGGAGGGAACAGAGATGGATGACCTCCCAATTGAACCAGACACGACTAAAAGCCTGGGGAGTGTGTGTGTGTCATTGCTGCTGGTTCATGACTAATGATGAGGAGAATCAGTGATTTCTGAACTACTTTTTAGCACAGTTTTGAGGTTGTGTCTGTGTGTGTTGCAGGGGAATGTGCGCTTCCTGAAGCTGCTGCTGTCCAGACGTGCTAACTGGCTGCAGAAAGATTTAGAGGAGATGACCCCGCTCCACCTGGCCACCAGACACCCAACCCCAAAAGCACTTGCCCTGCTGCTCAAACACATTGGACCTGGAGAGGTTGACACGCAAGACAAAAACAAGGTGCCGCTGTACAAATACACACAAATGGTTTGGTCCCTGGTTTGACTTCAGTCAGAAACCAGCCCGGTTGGACATCTCACCAATAATCGGCAACAAGAAAACCAACTGAGTGAAAATAGTTTGTTAGGAGCAGCGGAAATTTTAATGTTAATGTTAATGGCAGCGATCGCTTCAACAATCTGCGGCTTTGTACTGTGTTCTGCTGATAAGACCACAAACACACAGTCTCCTCTGTCTGTCGGAGCTGATGTGTATCTGACATCAGTAGTTGGTTTTGTAATAATCCAATATGCATCATCACGTCAGATGACAGTGGTTTCAGGCAATCTTAGAATAGCTCAGTACGAGCTTTGTGCAGCACGCTGCCCTCATATTTTGTGACCATTTCATAGTGGAATAATTTTGTGAACGTAAATGGAACCTGGTGTTACAATGGCCTCCTCTGTTCTCATCTCCATTCATCATATCTGTATCACCCTTTTCATTTCTCTCTCTCTTTTTCTGAACAGCAAACGGCTCTACACTGGTCTGCGTTTTATAACCGACCAGAACACGTTCGCCTCCTGATCAAGCACGATTCCAACATTGGCATCCCAGACAGTGAGGGCAAGATCCCCCTGCACTGGGCTGCACACAGTCAGGAGCCCAGCGCCACACAAACTGTCCGCTGTATACTGGTACACACTATTGTGCACACAAAAAACAAGACCAAGTTTGTCTTCTTTCAGTATCCTCACCCGTGTGTGTGTGTGTGTGTGTGTGTGTGTTTAGGAGGCAGCTCCCACTGAGTCCCTGTTGAACTGGCAGGACTACGAGGGGCGGACGCCGCTGCACTTTGCTGTTGCCGACGGTAATGAGGCGGTGGTGGAGGTGCTGACATCTTATGAGGGCTGTAACGTGACAGCTTACGATAACCTCTTCAGAACACCACTGCACTGGGCCGCTCTGCTCGGTGAGTGAATGTGCTGCAGCCTGAAAAAAGCTTTGCAAATAAAGTCCTCCCATCATCAGAAACCAAACTTTGTTCCAGACTGAAAATGTTTTTGTACAGACATCTACTGAGCCCCAAGGAGGATTCTAAATAACTCTGATGGTGTTTTCCTCTAAGACCACCAGTTTAAGTTTTCTCAAAATTTCAATATGTCCAACATGTCAGTTCATGACTACTCCTGAAAAACCAAAGACAAGCACATCGCCTCACCTGTACTTTGTGTTTAGTTCTAATAAGATAAGGTTAGCTTGCCCACACACTAATCTAAGCACATGAACATGTTAAACATGAGCATGTGAACACTGTGATTTTCAAATCCAGAAACTCTTATTTCTTTGGCTCGTTGCTCTTAAAACTTGTAAATAAGAAAACGTACATGTGTGTTTTTCAGGCCACGCCAAAATCGTCCATCTGCTGCTGGAGAGAAACACATCGGGCACAATTCCCTCGGACAGCCAAGGAGCGACACCTCTGCACTATGGAGCTCAGAGCAACAATGCTGTGAGTCACACTCTGTCTAATTGTGTATGTACTATATCCTGCTGATTATGTGGGGTTGCTAAAGCTAGGTATGTTCAGATGTTGAGATTCGTAACTTCGAATAATTTCAATAAGAATGTCACATTATATCTTATAGTACATTTGGAAATCTAACACAAATTCTAATTGCAAGATAATTTCTCATCATTGATGTGTCAGTATGTCATCATGTGAGTAAATTGTCTGTCTCTGTGATTAGGAGACAGTTGGTGTTTTTCTGTCCCACCGCTCAGTGAAGGATGAACCTGATCTGGAGGGGAGGACGGCCTTTATGTGGGCAGCTGGAAAAGGCAGTGACGATGTCATCGGCACCATGCTGGCCCTTTCTCCTCACATCGACATCAACATGGCCGACAAGTACGGAGGCACAGGTGAGTCACTGAGGAACGAGAGGAGGAGCCGAGGCGAACCATGTTACTTTGCACCTTAACAAACACACACCTTTCAGCAGAGGCGTTCTCTCGATTTAAGCTAATGATGATGACTACGATGTTACAGGGGATTCCCTCAAAGGTGCTAATGAGACTGTGCTAGTGAGAGAGGGAAGTGATACTGTCAGCAAAATTAGTGTGAGCTTGCTCAATAGACTCGCACCACTGCCAGCATGGTCCTCTGACAAACACACACACACAAAGACAGGCCTGACCCCCTGGGCTGTTTGGACATATAATCTTCATGGCGATAGTCCCTCTGCTCAGCCAGGCGCTCATTGTTTATGCATGC